TAGTGGGGAGGCCTCTTCCAAGTCGCTCTTTTCAAAGGCGTGTGGAAAAGCAGGCATGTGCCTGTCATGGCAGCAGGGGAGCCTGCCTGGAAGGTCATGGGGCCCTGGGAATCTCAGACGCTAACTGGAATCTCCCAATTCAGCCTTGCTCCAACTGTACCAGTGCCAAAGCCCCTTCCTCATTTCCAAGGAACCAGATGTTTCCAGGCCTCTGATTTCCCTGGGGACCTTCTTATTTAGCAAGGTGGCCTGAGCTAGGAGGAGGCGCTGAGGAGCGAACTGCAAAATGGACAGGAGAAGTGAAAAAAGATGCAGGGATACCCGGATGCATCGAAAAGCCAAGCAGAGCTTGCTTTTCCTGGACGCCAGTCAAGGAGACACTGGCTGTGGAAACCCGGCACTACGGGACAATTTCGTTCCACTGAATAGTGCAGGGCGTGACGGGGACCGGCGTCCGTGAGACCTGGGCACCAGCCATTCCCGAGCCTGAACAGCATATGTGGATACTAGGTAGAATCCAGAAATCCCAGGTCTGTGCAGAAATTTCAGCAAAACAAATCCAAGTCACACTCTCTGACACCTGGACCCACACAGCAAGTCACACGTGCCAATACACATAAAAAAGAAAAAGAAAACAAAAATCAAAACAACCTGGCGGTGAAAAGCAGGTGGTGAGCTGGCATTGCTGATGTCTGCGGTGTACGTTCATATCCACACCAGCACCCTTAATGACCACGTCCAAGGGAGGCACCTCGGCATCTCGGAATGTCAGAGTGGAGCCAAGGTTTCAGCAAAACAGCGCCCTCTAATCCCCCAACAACCCTGGCAGCACCAGGAGAGATAGAGCATGTGGCAGGCGGCGCCCCGCCAGACGTAGGATTCTGCTGACCCCTGCTGGCGCGTGCGAGCCTGCAGCATCTAAAGAGAGCTCCGGGAAGAAGGCAGGCCTGGAAAAACCTCGCAATCTGTCTGGGAAGGGTAGGAAGAAATACCCCAGCTCAGAATCTCCCCATCTGGAGCTCCTTTGAGAAGACAAAGCGGAAATTAGAATAAGACCCAGATTGAATTTCTGAGGGAGTGCGACAGACTAGCAGTGGTGTCCCCTCCAGCCTCTGTGGCCTGGAAAACCCTGCCGCCAGTCCTCTCGAAACTAAATTGGGAAACCATTAGCAACATTCATTGCCAAATCCGACCATTAAGGAGACAAAAAAGGGCGGGGGGTGGGGGGAAGGAGAGGGAGAGAAAGAAAGACAACATTTTCAAGTACCTCAACGCTTTTCAATCAGGACCGTTCTCTCTTTCCCTCCGTCTTTCTAGAATAACTTCCCTATTTCTGCACAGAGACTGTGTTTCAGCTTGATTTCCTGCGCTGTGACATCCCCTTCGACTGGAGACTGCCTTTAATACCTTTAATACCTTTCTTTCCACGAGGGACGTTGCTATCATGGTCTCTGGGTGCCTCTAAGAAGCCTGGCATCCAGAGTATTTGCATCTGGATTGCATTTAAAAAAAAAAACTCATTTTATGCACAGGAAGAGAAAAGTCCAAGTACTCTAGAATCTCCACTGGAATAGTCATAGGGCCCCAAGGAGCACCAGGATGCTGCTAAGTCCAATGGAAAGCAGTACAGGGTACCTAGCAGAAGCAAAAGTCGCCCCTTGCTAAATCCCTTCCTCTACCCTGAACAAAGTTATCAGAACCTGTGCTCGCCCCTACTGCACACTAGACCACATCACGGGTGTGTACACAGTCCTCTAGGCTGCCACCGTGTGACCTGCCCTGGGGACAGCACTGAATCTGCTCCTACCGAGGAACTGACTTCTCACAACTGCCTCTAACCTGCATGCTCCACTTTTCACCCTCCTCCCCATCCTTAATTTCCTCCTTGTCCTATTTTTCATCCGTGTGTGTGTGGGGGGGGGGGTGTTGGGAATGGAACCCAAAGACACAATCAAACATTACTAGCCTCCGGTTTTCATTTTATTTGACCTCTGTAGCATTTGACATTTGGTATGCATTGATACTTATATAAAATCATTGTGAGGGCTGCAGAGATGGCTCAGTGGTTAAGAGCACTGGTTGTTCTTCCAGAGGTCGAATTCAATTCCCAGAAACAACATGGTGGCCATCTACAATGAGATCTGCTGCCCTCTTCTGGCGTGTAGACATGCATGCAGCAGAACATTGTACATAATAAATCTTTTTAAAAATAAATTTTATTTAAATTAGAAACAATCTTATTTTACATATCAATCCCAGTTCCCTCTCCCTCCCATCCTCCCATGCCCCCCACCAAACCCCCCATCCCATCCCCCAATCACTCCCCAGGGAGGGTGAGGCCTTCTATGAGGGATCATCAAAGTTTGTCAAGTCATTTGGGGCAGAGTCTAGGCCCTCCCCAGTGTATCTAGGCTAAGAGAATATCCCTCCATGGGGAATGGGCTCCCGAAGTCCATTCATGGACTAGGAATAAATACTGGTTTCACTGCCAGAGGCTCTATAGACTGCCCAGACCTCCTAGCTGACACCCACGTTCAGGGGGCCTGGTTCAGTCCTATGCTGGTTCCCCAGCTATCAGACTGGGGAACTCCCACTTGCTCAGGTCAGCTGTTCCTGTGGGTTTCCCCATCTTTAAAAATATCATTTCGAAACATTTTAGATATATAAAAGTTATAGAAAATAATGTAACAAGAAATTGCTATGGTAATATCCTTCACAGAAACAAAAAAACAATGGAAGACATGCATGTGTGTAGGTACATAGGGGACAGACACAGAAGAAGGAATATGAACATATGCCAGAAGTTAAAAAGTCTCAAGGTCTATAGGACGAGCCAGGTGGAGACCAGGGAAAGCCAATCGGTGTGGTTCAAAAGCCAGCAGACTCAAGATCTGGGAAGAGCTAAGTTTTTCAGTTAGGTGCAAAGGCTAGACAAGCTGGTCAAAACAGTTAGAAGGTAAGGCAGGCAAGGGGAGTTTTCCCTGGCTGAGGAGAAAGTCCTGTTAGGGAAGACAACTTGCTTTATTCTTTCTTCTGATTTAAATGTTACGCTCATCCTTAAATATCATGGTAACCTCTAAAATCATGTTCCACCGATTATTTGGACACTCCATGGCCCAGACAAGTTGACACATTGTAAATTGAACCACTAAAACTTTGCTGTGGTGTTGTATGAAAGGAGAGAAGGTTAGTACTCCCCTTGACAAGGCTGGAAGAGGGATTTGGGCCTAACAACATGCATATGGTTAAGGCATTGCCACCTACTTCCTGGCATCTAATCACTGTTTTTAAGCAGAATGTTGTATACATAATAAATAAATAAATAAATAAATAAAATCTTTAAAAAAACTTTGCTGTGAAATTTAGGAACTAAAACATTGCAGATACGGTTTATGCTCCCTTTCCATTGCCTTTCTTTCTCAGTCCACAGAGTAAACGGCATTTTGAATTTGCTGTTAATCATTGCCATCCTCGTTCATAATTTTACCCCACTGTATGCTGCACATCTTAACTGGTAAATTCTACAGCTTTTCTTCCTGGCTCAGCATTATACTGTAAGGTTCATCCATGTTGATGCAGTTAAATTCAGTTTATTAATTTCTACTGTTTTGATATCCCATTGTTCTACAATTCACCAATCTTATTGTATACAGGGGTTTTTTTGTTATTTTAAATGGTTGCTATGAAAATTTTATCTTTCCTTCCTTGAGATTGATCCTGAGTTTGAACCTTGGGACCTTACACATGCTAAACAAGCACTCTATCATTGAGCTATATCCCCAGCCTTGGAAATTCTTACATGCTTCTTGTGGTATACATTTGTATTCTTTATTAGTCAATCCAGGAGTGAATTACAGTCATAAAGTCTGGACACTTTCACTTGGCCACATCTTTGCCAACACTTGTCATTGTCACCATTCCCCTTTTTTATATCCATGTTGTTAAGGGACCACATAGCATCAGATTTCACTATATTAGCAAAGTGGATAATTGCTCATAAGTTTATTCTTCAGTGGGGAGTTGGTGGCACACGCCTTTAATCCCAGCACTCGGGAGGCAGAGGCAGGCGGATCTCTGTGAGTTCGAGGCCAGCCTGGTCTCCAGAGTGAGTGCCAGGATAGGCTCCAAAGCTATACAGAGAAACTCTGTCTCAAAAAACCAATAATAATAATAATAATAATAATAATAATAATAATAATAATAATGTTTATTCTTCAATAGGATCGACTTCTGTTTCTCATCTCTTAATCTTTCCCCGATTCTACTGTTGCCCCTTTCTTTTTGATTTGAAGAATTAAATGTTGCGACTAGTTATCTTTTTTCAAGTAAATACTTTCTGCTCATTTTTTTCCAAATTAGTGGCTCTGTCTCTTACAGCCATAATGGTTTTTATTGAGGTATAATATATATAATTCACTTGTTTAAGTGTATAATTTAATGATTTTTTAGAAATCAATTTAAAGAGTTGTGTAACTATTGCCACAGTCCAGTTTTAGAACATTTCCAACACCACAAAGCAATTCCTCCCACCCACTTGCAACCAATTCCAGTTCCCACCCATAGCCACAGACAACCACTAATTTGCTTTCTGTCTCACAATTTTGCTTTACTAGACATTTCACATAAATGAAATCATATAATATGAGGTCTTTTGCATCTGTCTCTTTCAGTTTGAATAATGTCTTTTAAGGTTTGTTCGGACCAAAGTGGTACTGCAGAGTAGTGCTCTCTCATGTGAACACAATACATGTCCTTTGTTTGCCAGGCAATGAGTGTCTGACTTCCGCTCTAGCTCACAAGGAATAGATCACAAGTGAGACATGGCAGCACAGGCTATAATCCCTACACTCAGGAGTCATAAACAGGAGGACTGCCATAAGTTTGAAGTCAGACTGGGCTACATAGCAAGACCCTGTTTAAAAGAAAAGAATAAAGAAGAAAAAAAAAGTGTGTGTGTGTGTGTGTGTGTGTGTGTGTGTGTGTGTGTAAGGGGGGAAGATGGGCAAAAGGCTACAAGCAATTACATTAGATATAAGCAGTATAAACATTTCATTAAAAAATAACTATTTTATTATCACCAAAAGTTCATTCAACCTCTAGCAGTATAAATACAAAGAAAATTATACAGCATACCATAGTACAATTGTTAGAACCAAGGACAGAGAAGTCTTACAAAGAACCATCAAAAAACAATAAAATTACATTACACACAGAAAGCCAAATGGGAAATAAAAATGATATTTTTCTTTCTTGCTTGGTTGCTTTCTCCCTTTGAAGCAGGGTCTCAATGTAGCCCAGGCTGGTCTCAGAGTCATAAATCTCTTGCCCCGGCCTCCTAAGAGATGGGCTTATGGGGGCTGGAGAAATAGCTCAGTGGTTAAGAGCATTGGCTGCTCTTCCAGCGGTCCTGAGTTCAATTGCCAGCACTCACGTGGCTCACAACCCTCTATAGTGAAATCTGGTGCCCTCTTCTGGTGTGTAGGATACATGCAGGCAGAACACTGTGTACATAATAAATAAATCAGACCCCGCTATAGCTCAGTTTTCAGTTCAGAAAGTCACTCCACAGTCTGATGACTCCAGCTCCAAAGTGAAAGTCAAGGTTCGGGTAAATGTCCATGGTATTTTCAGTGTGTCCAGGGCATCCTTAGTAGAAGTGTACAAGTCTGAGAAAAATGGAGACTGATCAGATTGCAAAGGAAGAAGAGAAGAAGCAAGTGGGCCAGGAGGAACCACGTGCTGAAGAGCAGCAGCCACAGACCCCAACAGACAACCAGGTGGAGTCTGAGGAAATGGAGACCTCTCAAGCTCGATCAAAAGATAAAAAGACGGAACAACCACCTCAAGCCAAGAAGGCGGAAGTGAAGACCAGCACCGTGGACCTGCCCCTTGAGAACCAGCTGCTGTGGCAGCTGGACCGAGAGATGTTTGGTCTGTATCCAGGGAATAAGGGTAAGCTGATCGTGCAGGATAAACTGGAGAAGGAACGGAATGGTGCCAAGAACGCCATGGGAGAATCTGTGCACGAGATGAGAGACAGACTTAGCGGTGAATATGAGAAATCTGTGAGTGAAGATGATCTTAATGGATTTTTTTACCTTAAAATCAGAAGATACTGAAAATTGGCAGATATACTGAAAATATGATGATGGAGAAGACCAACCAAAGCAAGTTTATGTAGACAAATTGGCCGAATTAAAAAATTTAGGTCAGCCTGGACACGGTTCCAGGAATCTGAAGAAAGACCAAAGTTATTTGAAGAACTAGGGAAACAAATTCAACAAAGTGATCAGCTCTTTCAAAAAACAAGGAGGACCAGTGTGAGCACTTGGATGTTGCTGACATGGCGAAGGTAGAGAAGAGCACCAATGAAGCGATGGAATGGATGAATAGCAAGCTGAACCTGCAGTACAATCAGAGCCTGACGGTGGATCCAGTTGTCAAGACAAAGGAGATTGTCCAGGTACCCAGGCTGCGGAGCAGGGTGAAGACAAAGCTGTGCCTTCTGATGTAGACAAGAAGCTTCCTGAGATGGACATTGATAGACTCCAACACTTGTTTATATTAAAACAGACTATTATAAAATAAATAAATAAAATAAATCAATTTTTTTAAAAGAGAGAGTGGGGGGGGGGAGGCATACGGGCATATGTCCGCATTCCCAGCATTCCCAGCATTGCCACAAAGACTTACTTTTAATTAGTGTTAGCATGATCTGTCTTTTCCCATCTTTTTCACGTTTTTAGTTATAAAGTTTATTTATTACAGGTAGCAGCAAATAATTGAGTATTACCTAAAATAAAACTCCAGCCAGGCACATACCTGCAATCCTAGTACTCAGGGGGTTAAAGCAGAGGATTCCAAGTTAAAAATAAACAAACAAAAAAACAATCCACATTAAAAAAAAAATCTGTCCTTAAATGCAACGTTTAGGGGGTTGGAGAGATGGCTTAGGGTTAAGAGCACTTGCTGTTCTTGCAAAGGACTTGGGCTAGGTTCCCAGCACCCACATGGCAGCTCAAAATTGCCTATAACTTCAGTTCCAGAGGATCTGATGCCCTCTTCTAGTCACCAAGGGCACCAGCCATGAATGTAGTGCACGTACCTACAAAATAAAAATATAAATCTTAAAAACATAAAACGAATCTTTTTCAAAGAAATATCTTTACTGTTTACATTTAGTATGATTATTAATGGGGTTAGGTTTGAACCAATCTCCTTGTTATCTATTTTCTGTTTGTCTTCTCTGTTCTATTTTAGCCTCTTTTGTTCCCTTTTTTTATGCTAAGTGTTTTTGTGATTCCTTCACTGATCTGTTAGTTGAAATTTCTTAGTTTTTTTGTTGTTTGGTTTGTTTATTTGTTTGTTTGTTTTGTTTTTCAAGACAAGGTTTCTCTGTGTAGCCCTGGTTGTCCTGGAAATCATTCTGTAGACCAGGCTGGCCTCGAGCTCATAGATTCACCTGCTTCTGCCTCCCAAGAGCTGGGGACTAAAGGTGTGCACCACCACCTGGCTGTTTTGTTTTCTTAATCTTGGTGATTGCTTTATAATTTACATGTCTTTGACTTGTCCACATCATCTTTCAAGTGATGATGTGTCATTTCCTGCATAGTTTAAGAGTGTTACAAGCCTGGCATGGTGGTATACACCTTTTGAAGTCAGTCTGGACGACCGAGAGAGTTTCAGAACAACTATGGCTGTTACACAGAAAAACCCTGTCTCAAAAAAAAAAAAGTGTTACAAATTTATCGACATACATTTGCTTTTTCAGAGTCATTAACCCTAAAATACATTATTATCATTTTCATTTAAACAATGATCTTTTTGAAAGTTATAAATATCCTTTAAAAACTTGTATCTTCATCTATGTAGTTAACATTTTTTTTTTCTTTTTCAGTTTGAACCCCCAGCACTTACATAAAATCCTGGCCTGGGTAAATGTGTCTGTAACCTTAGCATTGGGGAGAGAGACCGGCAGATCCTGAGAGCTTGAGCCAGTCAACTCAAACAGCAAGCTTTAAGTTCAGTAAGGAACCCTGTCTCAAGCGAGTAAGGCAGAGTGTGATAGGGGATGACACTCCTGTCTTCTGGCTTCCACATTTGTGCACATGGGAGCACACGTGGATGGACACATGCACATACATACACACATGCAGAAAGAGTATGCTCATTTTCTGTGTTTCATTCAGATGGTTTTTATGGCTGTGTCTTTGAGTATACAAATTGTTTTCTTCTGCAATATCAATATAATTTTCATCTCTAAAGGTAATTTTTTCCTTCATTTTTCATATTTCAGCAGAGCTTTCTGAACACATGGAATGTGGCCCTAATATCTAACTCAGCATCCTTGTCAGTTAATTCTAACATCTGTGTCAGTTCTCAGTTGGTCTCAGCTAACGGATTTCTAAGCCCCTTGTTATGGGTCATGTCTTCCCATTTCTTAGCTTATGTGGTGATTTTTTTTTTTTTTTTTTTTTTTTTTTTTTTTTTTTGTGGATGCCAGCCTTGTGCATTTTACCTGACTGGGTAACTGCTTTTTTGGTATTACTGTATAAATGCTTGAACTTCGTGCTGGGATGTACCTGTGTTTGGGGAATCACTTTTAAGAACTGAAGGTGAAGGGCCTGGAGAGATGGCTCAGAGATTAAGAACACTGACTGCTCTTCCAGAGATCCTGAGTTCAATTCCCAGAAACCACATGGTGGCTCACAACCATCTGTTATGAGATCTTGTGCCCTCCTCTGGTGTGCAGATATACATGGAAGCAGAATGTTGTATATATAATAAATAAAATCTTTGGAAAAATAAAAAAGAAAGAACAGAAGGTAAGTTTGTTCAATCTGGGGTTAGGGTTACCCTGCTGAGGAATATCCTTCTCCTACTCTGCTCACTGGTGGCGCACAGCTCTCTATTTCTGCTGGTGATACTGCCTCCTCACATCCTTCCAGAGCTTTCTTCTTCAGACTCAGAGATGGTTCTTCCTTGGAGTGTGCAGAGTCACACACTGAACTTTGGAAGCAGAGCCTCTGGAGATCTCAGTGGACTCCTCCAGGCAGCTTCTTATTCCTGTGCCCTCTGAGCTCTGTCTCCCTAGACTCTTGGCTCCTTTTCAACTCAGGAAATATTCTTTCCTGCTGTGCTGTGGCCTGGAAGCCCGTGACAGGCAACCCAAGACGCCCTCAGTTGTTTCTCTTTCAGCCTTGTCGTCTTATGTGGAATGTATTAAAGTTTTTAATATGGCTTATTTTTGCCGTGTGTGTGTGGCGGGGGGGGGGGCTGTGGGTGTATATAACCATGTGTGCATGTATAGAGGCCACAAGTTGTTGTCAGGTGTCTTCCTTCATTTCTCTGGCAAACACTTTACCAATTGAGCCATCTCCTCAACCCTAGATTTTGGCTTTTGTTGTTATTTTAAAGAGGTAAAACCCTATTCCTACTTCTGGGCCAGAAGCAGAAGTTTATTAAATGAAAGCATCTGATTAAACAAGCATTTAAGAAATATTCTTTGTCAGGCATGGTGGCGCACTCCTTTAATCCCAGCACTTGGGAGGCAGAGGTAGGGAGAGTCTCTGAGTTTGAGGCCAGCCAGCCTGGTCTACAGAGTGAGTTCTAGGACAGCCAGGGCTACACAGGAGCCCTGTCTCAAAAGAAACAAACAAACAAAAAGGAAAGAAAGAAAATGAAGACAGAAGTATTCTTTGGGCCTGAGAGATGGCTTGGTTATTAAATGCACTCATTGCAGACAATTTGAGTTTGGTTCCCAGCACCCACGTCAGGCAGCACACAAGTCTAGTTCCAGGGGATCTGAAGCCCTCTGCCTTTTTTGGGTTCCCACACTCATGTGGTGCACATAAACTCAAGAAATTTACACATTTAAAAATGTTCTTCAGGGTTGGGCGGTGGTGGCCCACACCTTTAATCCCAGCACTCGGGAGGCAGAGGCAGAAGGATCTCTGTGAGTTTGAGACCAGCCTGGTCTACAAAAACTAGTTCCAGGACAGCCTCCAAAGCCACAGAGAAACTCTGTCTTGAAACAACGCTCCCCCCCCCAAAAAAAAGAAAAAAAAAATGTTCTTCGGGGCTGGTGGATTAGCATGTGTGTAATTCCTACACTTGGAAGGATGAGGCTGGAAGATCACAAGTTAAAGGACAGTCTGAGATACAGTTGTCATTCAATAAGAAAAAGGCAAACAGTGTAATTTTAAAAATAGGCGAATGATCTCACAACTGTGATGGCATACTTCAATTCCAGGAATCAGGAGGCAGGTGAAAGACCACCAGGGCTACATAGTGAGACCTTGTCTCAAATAAACAAACAAACAAATAAATAAATAAATGTAAAGAGTTTGAACATGTTTCTTCAAAGAAGACATAAATGGTAAAAAGCACATAAAAGGATGTGCTGTGTCATCAGCCACCATGGAAATACAATAGAACCTCAGTGCTTCAGACCCTCTAGGATGGCTGTAATGAAGACTGATAATGACAGGACATGGGGAAGCAAAAACCTTTATACCTTGCTAGTGGGGATGCAAAATGTTGCTGCTGCTTTGGAGTGTAGTTTGTCAGTTCCTTAAGGGCTAAACATTAAGAGTTACCATATGACCTAGCTAGTCCAGTCCTCACTATGTACCTAAGAGAAACAAGCACACACACAGGCACCCCCCTCAAAGAACACCCTTGTACATGAATAGCCACGTTCAAAATATCCATGTTTAGGCTGAAGCCCAAAGCCAAACTGAATGTTTAGAACTGTAAGTGGATAAATAAAATGTTGCCTATCATGCAATAATATGTTAGTTGACAATGGAAAAGAACAAAGTGGTGCTGGAGAGATGGCTCAGTGGTTAAGAGCCCTGATTACTTTCCAGAGGATCTGGGTTCAATTCCCAGCATCACGTGGAGGCTCCCAACCCTGTGTAACTCCTGTCCTTTCTGGTCTCTGTGGGCACTGCACACATGTGATGCACAGATGTTTATATAGAAAAGACACCTATACACATTTTAAAAGTGGGGGGCACTGGGGCTGCACCTCAGCGGTTAAGAGCAATTGCTGCTATTGCAGAGGACCTGGGTTCAGTTCACTGCACCCACGTGGTGGTTTGAAACCATCTGTAATTCCAGTTCCCGGGAATCCTACACCCTCTTGTGACTTCCATGAGTACCAAGCATTTATATATATATATATATATATATATATATATAT